AACAGACGTACTAGCGTTCGCGATTCAAATATCACGGCGTCCTGCATCGCCGGGTATTGGCGCACCTGCACCTGCTGCACTTGTCGCGACACAAACCACCGCACCGTAATCGGCGTAATCCGCGAACCGTCGCGCTGCCCTGCGAATTCACCGCACGATACTGAGGACACTGACGAATAATAACGATCGGGACGAGTGACGATGACGACAACGCGGACATCACCTCGCAGCATCACCGTTTTAACACATAACACGCGCAAGCGTTTGAAACTTCAATCCATGCTTTTTTCCTACTTCCGATTTTTTTCTTTTCTAACAATTCTAACACGTTCGTCGATCGACTGCCAAATTCACGCAAACTTCACTGATTTCACGTCGCTGACAATAATTGCACTATAACCGGCGTTGGCGGAGCAACTTCGCGTCGGTGACAATTTCACGAGGGTCGACAGTCGGATTGTCCGCGAATCAACTTTTTTTCGATCGAGAGATTTCAAAAAATCGAAACCAATACTGGATAACATCTCGCGAACTGTCATATATAAATTCAAGGAAATCAAATTGATCACAATTCAGAGTACGCGAACTGGAAGGATAGCTTCAGCGAGAAGAAAGGAGTGCGCAACGGCACGTACTTTTCTCGCGATCGGTCGTTCGACACCGGTGTGCTCTGACATGAAGTACCCGCCGAAATGCCGATCTGTTACTTATCGAAGGTTGCCTTTTCGTTTGGCGGCGCACTAACACGAAGAGTCGCGAGACTGGAGTCGAACTGACCGCCGAGATGAGGCCCAACTCCCCACAACTGGTCGTCGCTTCTGCGATCACCCTCCTCCTGCTACACCGCGGATGCCACTGGACGTTCTCCTTACCTTCTCCTCTTCCGCCACCCCTCGCGCCTGCTGAGACCTGGTCCCGACTCAACGCTCTCGCATCATTGTATACCTCCTGTTCCGCCGGTCGCACTCACACGCCCCCTCTCTCTCTCTCTCTCTCTCTCTCTCTCTCTCTCTCTCTCTCTCTCTCTCTTCGCGATTCTCTTCTTCTTCTTCTTTTTCTTCTTTTTTTTCCATCCATCGTTTCTCCTTACACGCGCGCGCAGATTTTCACTCGTGATCGTAAATGAATGTGCGATCAACGACGAACCCTTTGCGAGTCGACGGCTCGCGTGTCGATTGTATTCGTGGTTAACTGCCTAGCTACGCGCGTATTTCGCGGAAAGTTATCAGGGAAGCTCTCGAGGACCGATCGTCCAACGATGATCCTGACGAGGCCCGGATTCCGAGAACTCTCCGATTAACTCGCTCCTGTTGTAGCTCAATTGATTCTCTTTGTCTCCTTGGATCATATAACATGTCGTAGCTGCATTCACGATGAAAGATGCAATCAATCAGAGTGATAGTAGTAGTTTGATGTTTAAAGAAACTCGGATTAAATAGTGGCCACGAATGATATTAACGAGTTAGTACTTAGACACATATAAAAATTTTGATTTCTGCGCGTTATATTATACAATCAACTGCGTGTGACAAGAGCTGGCTGTCTCATCTCACAATTGCTTACCTGACCTTAATCTCGGAGAAAACTATTTATTTATTTTCGATTGTTCGAGAAAGCTTTGATTTAAAGATTTTCAAATCAACACGATATTTTGATTTTATTTTCTTGCCTGTGCAAGATACAACGGCTATATCCCAAATTTCTTCAAATTACAGCGCGTGCTGTATTGTATTTTACTGCAATATCGAATTATTTAATGGCAATGTATGTTAAATTAAATGCCGTTTAGAAATGTTATTAGTCGTTATGCTCGTTTTTCTATTGTTTTCACTCGCCGGTTTAACTGTCTCGTGTTTATGTCCGCGTTGTCTTTTTTATCTATTACAAATAACTGAGCAACTCTGATATTTGTGTCTCTGGTATTGTCTCACAACTTCTAGAAACGCGAATATTCTTATGTCTTTAATCTTTGAACATTTTTGCAATCGAAGTAATGGCGATATAATCGTAATTATTATTACATAAGTAATAATAATTAAATTAATGTTTTCTGCCTCCAGAGAAATAAAAAGGAGGTAAATAGATTGGAATAATGCACGTTTAAAGTTGGTCACACTTACCAAAAGTAGAGAGATGATGCTAATACTCGGATCAAAGCAGACGTTCGAACGATTTCTCAAGACTGTAATCAAGAGATTACGAATTACCAATGAAAAAAATGTGACGCGTTGCTTTATAATGAACTCCGAAATTATCTGTCATTCAACTGTTAGGCTGCGTCGCGCGTTTCTTTTGCACTTTTGATGCTCATAATGAGTCTGTTCGCGTTGAATGAAATCCCCAGAAATATTTTTGCACTTAAAATGAGATAGATATATATTTGACGTTGAAAAGAGAGAAAGCGAAAATGCTGAGCGCAAAAAGTACAAGCAATGCATGAAACATACATAAGAAGTAAAAAGCATTTTAACATACCTATTTGTATTAAAACTAAGCTTTGAAATTTTTATGCTAAATTGTTAACATATGTACGAAAATGTTAATAATAATGATTGTGTTGTTTAAAATATTTCGTTTAATTGATATGAAACATTTTTAATATTACAATAACATTATTTATGAATAAGTAAACAATTAAATAACACAAAAATAATGTAATTGTAGAACGTACATTTTAAAATAAATAAAAATGTGCATAACGTGTTCATTTTACATATATTAAATGTTAATTTTGTTAATAAAATATGCTTTTACAAAATTCGTTTCCAAATTGTGTTAACATGTAACATCTTTTGTGTTAATTTTTTACACAATATTTATATTACTTTTTAACACATTCATCTTACATATACAAAACAAAAAAATGTGGAAGGATCATTTGGAAAATGTGAAATATGTTATTTAACACAAATTTTCCAACTGTACGCACATTATTACTGCACATATAACGTTATCATATAATTACATTTGTTCTAGAAGAAAAACATCAATGGGAATTTTCGGAAGAGAAATATCCTATCATGGCGAACGAAAGAAGACTTTATATTTCCTTCTTCCTTAATCGACAAAATTTTTTTACTCCAATTCATATTGAATCCAAATCGTACTTTTCCCTCATTTGTATCCTCCTTAAAGGCCCCTCATGTTCACTCGGTCCGAAGTTCTCGGTATCCGCTTCTTGCTTCTTCCTTCCTGCCCTGTTCTCTTGCATGTCTTTTTTCCCACGCTTAATATTCCGCGTTCGCAATTCCCTCCACTCTTCGTTTTCCACTTTTTGATCGCTTCGTTTTCGTCCGAGTCGTGCGTGTTTGTTTCATTATATGCACGATATCCGATCGTCCGACCGTGATATAATTAAATCGCGAAAGAGATACGTTAAATCAAACGGAGATAGTAGGCTTAGCAGTATTGATTTATTAATTAAACCATCGAAATTATGTTCTAGTGTTGCTAACAACTAACATTTTATTGGCACCATGCGTGGTTCATGAATAATGCTAGCTATTCCGTCATTAAAGTTATCTACGTCAACAAGTAGAACTGAGTCATTAGTGGATCAAATCTTTTTAAGAACTTTTTGTTATCATTTCTATCAGACATCGTGTTATTATAATATTGAATCGAATTCAGTCTCTGGAAAAAAAATTTTCTTAAGATTATTATCGTATTTTTTTTCATTTCAATATCTAAGCGATTAAAATAAAAAAGCGTAGATTTTTTTTTGTTTTAAATAGAGATGTATTTTTCTCGTTAAACGAGTTTCTCTTTTATTTATCTTTCCTGAGTAATATCCAGCAAAACTTGGTTTGTGAGATTATAGGAAACATAAATAATCAAAAGCGGGTTTGCGAGTTTATATGTAGGATTTAATAAAACATTTCCACGTGACATACATTTCAGTTTGCCGCATATTTTACAAGTTTCAAAATTATGAAATTATGTTTTTAAGGAAAAACTAAGAAGTAAAGCTAGTTATTGTTGTATATTACTTTTAATTTAAACAAAAGTGTTGCAAAAGTACATTTTTTTAGACTGATTTTATTGTAGCATTTAGTTTAGATTGATTTTAAGTACGGAAAACTTTTCAAATAATGAATTTCTTTAAAAAATCAATAACGAGTAACTGTAACTTGTTTCTTTAAAAAAGTAACTTTCCATTTCCTGAAACTATAAATTAAAAACTATCATAATCTAATCGCACTTATAATGTGTTCAAATTGCGTTATCACTAATTGCATATTCAGCCAACGAGAATGGATTGAAATGGATTCAGATTTTCAGAAATATTGATTCACGAATGTTAAAATGAATAAAGGTTTTCAACCTTGAATGTATTTTTATTCATTTTTATTCATAGGAATTGCATGGCATATCTCTATGCCTTTCAATCTAAAAATAATATTAGCTTTTTCTGTGCGACACAAATACATCGTAAATTCAAAATTTTGAATAAGAATTTTGCAGTTTTTCAATCCAATTGCATCCAATTGAATCTAATTGAATCCGATTAAATCCAAAAAAAGGTATTCACTATTTAAAATATGCATTCTGATAGAAAAAAATTTAAATCCATTCTTGTTTGCTGGAGATCTTTACAAAAGACTGATCTTAGATAATTTCATTTCAAATAGGAATTGATCTAAAATTAGATCTTTAAAAAGATCTTTAAAAATCCAGCAAAACGAGAATGGATTGAAATTTTTTTCTATATGTGAAAGAGACAAGAAAGCATCAAATGGAAAGGTAAGGTCGACATAAATCCTAAATTTAACGCGGCACTCCATATAATTATGATCGCACGAGCGGGAGGCCGGGAGCGAAGTAGCGAACCTAAATCCAATTTCGCGGATCAGGTGTAGCGCTGCACGGTTGCGCGGCTCAACACTCGTCAAGTCGTTACCAATCGTCACTCGGTCATAATCGGTTGCTGTCGGTGTCGCTCGGCCGCGCTCGCGCGGCCACGTGACCGCGTAGCGAAACATGGCGCGCGGACTCGCCACGAAGATGGCTGCCGCGCGTTACGAAAGATCGGACGGTGTATCACGGGGAAGTCAGTTCCCGATCGTCGATATAATTGCCGCGCCGCCGTCCGCTCTTCTTAGTCGTCGGGCACGGTGGTGGCCGTCGACGCGATGGTATACGATATTAAGTGGATCATACCGAAACTACGGAACCCATCCCGACTCTGGAACATCGCGAGCAGCATAACCTTCGCGGCGGTGGGCATTTTTTCGAAAATCATCATAGGTAAGAACACATTGTCCCGCGTGCCGGCCCACGCGTGGAATTTATCAGCCCGATGGCCCGAAAAAGTGAATCACTCGAACGATACGGTTCGCTGAGCAATTCCAAGTCGATTCCGTGCAACGTTAGCCTGGTAGGTAATATGCGAGCGATTTCCTCGTGCGTTTCGCATATGAGAGCCATTGCTCGCTCGCGACGATGTGCATGATGGTTAAATAAAAAACAGACAACACCCAATACGGCATCTCGTTGCGATTGACATCGATGATCGTCATTGTCGCGCGGAAATATCGAAGCATGGTTGTTTACCATCATGGCATGTATACCGCATCGTGGATAATGAAGGTTGCGCAGAAAACGTTGATGTTGTTATGGAAAAAAAAAATTGTCGGTGTATCTGCGGAGTATACGATCGCGCGTGTGATATAATTACATGGATTGTGATATATGAGATGGCAGAAATAAACCTTATCTGTTAACTATTTTGCTTTGGGAAGAAAGAGAAAAAGAAATCAAAGTCTTATTGTATCATCAATCATGGATATGTTGAATAAATCGTCTCATATAATATTCTCTACATATACTGTGTGTAATGTCGTAAACAAGTAAAGTTCTGAAAATAAGGCAGTCTTGATGCTTTTTGAATTATTTTGAAATTAGCATTGTATAACAGTTCTATAACAGTTCTATAAAATTTAGGAAACAATATATTTACATGAAAACAGTATTTTAATATGTATTGAAATATTTGAAACAAATATAAACAGTTGGAAAATTTGTGTTAAATTTAACATATTTTACGTGTCTTAAACGATCCAAGTTTTTATATTAATTTAATACAAGATTAATATGAGCCTATTCTTTCTATATTTGAATTTTTTGTGCAGGTGATTTTTCCTCTTTTTCTCTCTAATATGAAAAAAAAAGAGAAAAAATGAAGATCATGTAAGAAGTTGACAAGAAGGTTATACATTAAAATATAATACAAATATAATACATTAAAATTAACACAAAAATTTTGATAAGATTTGAAAATAAATTGTGAATGTTTTTGCCAATAAAATTAATATTTATATGTTAATATATTAATATATTAATGTATAGCCTTTTTTTCATAGTCTTAATAACTTTTTACATAATCCATTTTTCCTCTTTTTTTATGTTAGAGAGAAAAAGAGAAAAAAATCAAGTGCGCAAAGAAATTAAATTTTTACATTTACGTTCATCTTTTATTCATTCATTTCAGAATTAACATTTTAAAATTGTATTATATTCATATTATTTGTAATTTTAATATATATTTTTAATATCAAGAAAACAAAATATTCATTGGTAATTTTTTAATATCAAGAAATATAAAATATTCATTGGTAATACATTCATTGGTAATAAATGACTACATTACGTTAAATTAACATTCTAGATATGTTAAAAATTCAACAATAAAATTTTAACAAGAATCGATTTTAACACAAGTATAAAATACTTTTTACTGTGATATACAGATAAGTTTTAAAATCGTTTGCATTTGGAAATGTTAAATGATTGAGTAGAAAAATTATTTATAATTGAACATAATGGACAAAATTTCAAAAATATTATATTTTGTTGTATTTGACTAAAATAAGACATAGAAAGAAAAGATTTTTTTAATCATATACTATATTGTATATTAAACTACAATTATATATTAAGTTACATAGTTTTAATTAAATTGCAATATGATAATACAATAAATTAATTAGTAATAATAATTCTATAAAAATTACGATCGGTGAGAATGAATATGAACAAAAAAATTATTTATATAAATTTTTAGTTTTATTAGGTTAAATAGCACTAAACTTATTTCTGAACTTTTTTCTTTTCTGATGTCAATGCAAATAAATTGATTTATTTTTTGATACCATTTTTACACACAATTCTGATATTTATTCCACAATAACATTGATTTTGATGTATAAGCGTGAGATATTCATATATTTTAATAAAATTTTATCAATTTATTTGAAAAATAATATCTTTTGTCAATTTTTTTTTGCATAAGTTTTATGATTTTGCTCGTATTTTCTACATTACTAGAAATAATTCGAATATTATAATAATTTTATGCATTTATGTGTAAACTTCAATTTACATACACAGATAGATCATCTAAAGATAGATCATCTTATTCTGGTTTCTTAGACGTTTTCTGACTTGCATATATAACAGTTTCGCAATAATGACAATTCATTATATGTATATTTTAATAACAATCGCCGATCATTTTGTTATAATCATTTTTCTTAGGATAATAACTATGCTATATAAAAAAGCTTAAATAGTAAGATGTAAATAGCAGACAATTCAACTTTTATATTTTCTACTTTTTATGTATTGTCTTACTGTGATTGGCTGATTCGCTTAGAAAAGACTGGGACTTATTAACACCGTTTTCATAATTTTAGCATTAGATTTTTTAAACAATTAATTATTATAATTTAAATACTAATATGATAGAAAGAATCTTTATATTTTCCAGTAATGGTTCTATACACTATATAGGTTTTTTTTGCAGTAAATGAAAGATGAATACGCTGCATTGTAGTCATTGCTCTGATATACATATCGGATTTACATATCGATATAAAAAAATAATTTACACATATATGTGAATCACTTTAAGTTGCCTCTATGATAAACTTTTAAATTTATCATTTTATTATAATAAATTATCATCGTTACTCAAAATAACGTGTCGTATATTACGAAACATTTTTTTAACTAATAATATATCACTTAGATTTTCTCAAGCTGAAGGACATTAATACGAAATGCTCAAAAATTTATTTGCTTTTTGAATCAGATTTTTTTTTTTCTATTGTAATATTTGTTTGATTTAAATGAAACTTATGGAAAAGTATCTTATGTTATAAAAGAAATATTTTGTGGTAATTTTTTCATTGTTTCTTTCGTCATAAATACATAAACAAAACGCAATGCCAAAACTAGCCTCGATCTCTCTCATTGTTTACATGTTACTGTTATGTTTTTTATATGCTATATATAATCTTAGGTATTTATATCTCATATTTATTGATAAATCCTATTCTATTTCTGAGATTCTGTAATATCTGTGACGTAAATGCGCATTTAAAAACACTACTAAATACGCATTTAAAACCACATTTATCGATAAAAAGTGAGATATGAATGCTAAAATCTCATTTTTTTTTATTGTAGCATTCGTCAGTTAGGTCTCTCTCTCTCTCTCTCTCTTTCCCTCGCTCTTCCTTCCCCTCCCTTCCTTCTTTATGTGTTTATGCAACTTATCGTAAATAAAAACGGATAATTATAGGCAATTACAGGTAGCGTCGAATCAACTTATGACATCAGACCATAAAAGGAGTATCAGATCACGGGTTGACGATTACGATTGACGGTTGCCCAGTTTTCTATTTCAGCCAATTACGACAGACTCGCTACATCGTGATTGGTAGTTGAAGTAGAACCGGGCAATTGTAATCATCAATCCGTAATCTGTTACGGGCATTAAATAATAGAAATCGGAGTTCTTTTGAGAATTGTAGAGTATTTCGATAATATATCGGCGAAAAAAGTCTGATTCTTAAATTTCCCAAATTGATTAAGAGCGCGACATCGATTAAATTCCAATGATCTTTCGCGTGCTGCGTCAAGTCACGATTCAAGAGTCAATTTCTCGCTCCACTTCTCGCAACATCTTGGTCTGTTATCGCGACACCAAATATACCGCTCTCTATGGCATGATCTAACAAAGAATTTCTCTCTCTTTTGCATTTAAGAATGGCTGAACAAAACAACGGTGTACAACAAGCACATTATTGTGCGCGCCTTAGACCTCCGGCCGAAAAATGTTCCGCTCATTACCGTGTCGAATCATCACAGTTGCTTCGACGATCCAGGTATATGGGGTAAGAGACTTTTTTTTTCTCCTTTACGTCGTTTGTTAAATGCCTTTCGGCATTGCGTATAATAACGTATCATCAGTTCCTCCCTCCCTCCCCCACGTTCAGTCTCACGTGGGGCTAAGACTTTGCGTTGTGCACGGCTGATTTATCGTCTCGAGAAATTGAGAAAAATAAAATACCGCGTGTGCGGAACGTACGAATCATCCGGAATGTATAGTGCCGGCGGTCCGTTCATTCTGCCGTCTAATAAAACGGCTTCGAGGCACTCTTTACGATCTCGGACCGCGCAGTTAGAGTCGCGGACGCAATGAAACATAAGGACAAAATACATTGTGCTTCATGACGATGTGGGACTGTCCAGTTGTTGAAAAAGAAATCAAATAAAAATTCATTTTGATCGAAAGATATCATTTTTTAAGTAAATTTTTAAATAAAATTACTGATATTTTGTGCAACAGAGCACGAATAATTTCTTTGAAATTACTTCAGTGAAAAAAAAATGATATTCCAACAACGTTATTTTAATCGAAAATAATCCTGTTAATTTAACAACAGTATTAACGAAACAAATAAAATTTTATTAAAACAAAGGCATGATGTATTTCTTTCATTAATGTTATTGAATTAACAAAATTATTTTCAATTAAAATATGCATCATTTTTTTTCAGTGTTAAATCACTGGGATTTAAACTTTATGCACAGTAAAAGGCATAGGCATCAGGAATAGAAAATAAAATCTAGAGTTTAATCTATAATATGCTCTTTACTCTGATGTCAATAAAGCAATAATATCTCACTTATATAATATCTTAACTATATAATATCTCAACTCGGGACCTGGGATTTTAAATCGGGCAAACATAGGATCTTTATCGGGATTAGGATTTTAATTTCTAGTCGGGTCTTAAATGCATTTATTTCACACGTATGACTGTGCGTCGACTTACTTTCAGCCTGAAACGATAGCATCTTAAACCTGTAAAGAGATGTTAGCCACTAATCTGTAAAATTAATGGCCAACATCAAATCAGCGATGAAATTTAATTTGAAATTATTATTATTGTGAAATTATTAATATTATTTCAATGTGATTGTGTTGCAAATCCAATCTGAAAATAATTGACGCACAGTCATATTTATATCTCAGATAAATGTATTTAAAATATATATAGGAATATTATTTCAACATTTAACTTTGACAGTAATTGACACTTTTCTTACTTGATTTATATTTTTAGAGTGTGTTCCTGTTGTCTGTGCTTCTTATTGTGAATAAGAATTTTAATCTCGCTGATACAAGACATTAACTGACGATAAATAATGAGGATAGATGATTAGCTACGAGAATTGAATTTGATCCAATGTGAATGAAGAACAATGACGATAAGCGCCCATTAGTTGACAATGAGTACAGTAAGCATGAATATCTGCGTCATTCGTTTATCGATGCCCCATTTATCATACGTTCTTCATTCTTTCTTCCTTGTTCTTCAGTTCATTGTGTCCCTGACGTTTGATTATGTGCCGATGATAATTAAAAGCAATTTTTTTTCTATATATTTTTTAAATTTTGTTTTAAGACAAATGTTGGTTTTTTTGTAATCGACATTTTGTAATCCTCATGTACGTTTTGTCCCTCTTTTGAGACGTGTTTTTCTTTCTCAGAACGACGCCGATATGCGATCGCGAATGAAAGAATTTAAGACAGAAAAATCTCTGAACTCATTTAGCGACCCTGGACTTCAGGCACTCGTGGAGCCGACGTAAGGTACGATGGTCGCTCGCCGCGCATGACATTTGTTTCACGAATGTCTGGCATTCCTACTTTTTCATGCTCGGCAAGTGCATACCCATCGTCCGAGGAGACGGCGTGTATCAGGAAGCCGTGGACTTCTGTATCGAAAGGCTGGCCCTTGGCGAGTGGGTGCATGTCTTCCCCGAGGGAAAAGTCAATATGCTTAAGGAAGAGATGAGGTTTGTACTCCAATTATTTTTTCTTCTGTTCTGAGACTAGATAACGTGATCTACGCATATAAAGTTATTAGTCTATAAAGTTTACTCAGTCACCGTGTATATTAAAATGCAAAAACGTTTATAATTTGTAAATTACATTTTTGTAATACTTCAACTTCAAATCGACTAGAAAATAAAAATTGAACTTATTTTTTGATAAGTAGATTATTAAATTAAATGTTACCTTTTTATAAAACTCTATATGTACGAAAAATAAGGTGATGTATAGATAAGCGTTTTGTAGAAATTAATCCAGAAGTAGTCATTTGATTTTTTATATATTTTGGTTAAAGAATTCGGATTAATCAGAATTTTCTGAAATAAGTAAATCTGAAAAAAGTAAGAAATCAAACAAATATTAAACAGAACAAATATTGTTAATAAGTAACTTATTATGACAGTATTTATAACAAAATAAAGGTTTTAATTAATATAACGCTTTTTTATTGCACATTTTCGATGGAATTGCACATTTAAAGATTCGTAAAGAGTAATTATAAAAAAAAGAAACATGTTAAATAATACACAAAACAATATTTTACAATTCACATTTTTCTTATCGCTATAAGAATCTTAGGTTCTTATTTCCTCATTAATAATAATATTATAGTTACACAGTGAAAATAATCGATGATTTTAGGTTGAAATGGGGCATAGGTAGATTAATATTAGAATCACCCATCACGCCTATCGTAATTCCTATCTGTCATCTCGGTATGGATGAAGTACTTCCCAACGAACCACCGTATATGCTTAAAGTGGGAAAAAGAGTTACCATGAATTACGGTGAGCCCATAGACTTTAGCGAATTGTTGACCGAATTGCGAGAATCAAAAGCAAGCGAGATGGATGCGCGAAAAGCGATAACTGATCGCATTCAGCAAGAGCTTTCCAGGTAGTGCTATAATTATATCTAATGTTTCGAACTATTGAATAATGCTCGATGGAATAAGGAAAGTGAAAAAATATTTAAACATTTTTCAGATTGAAAGCAACAACGGAAAAGCTTCATACTAAGTTATGACGAAGATTATCCCTTTTTCGTCATTCCTCCGTCTAGCCTTAATTTGCCAAAAATATAAAGAGAAATTGATATCAACAAAAGTGAGATTTGTATGTAAACATAAATTCGTACGAAATTAGTTTTTTTTTTTTAATGCGTACTTTGTAATATGTAGTATTTTTGACAATACTGAATAATGTAAGTATCAATTGTATTAGAAATCATTCTGCGAATTACGACGTTTATATCGTCTTTTAAATTATATCTTCGTAACTCTTCGAGAGATCACTTGATACGCAACACAAAATATATCTACTACAAAATGCATCTACAAAGTTATGCACTTGCTTCCGCAATTTTACATATTTTTCTATTAATATAAATTGAAATTGTTTAAGTGATTTATTGAAATTCTCACGAGATTTAGTTTTTGTTTATAATTAATTTCATTATAGATATTTAATTTCTATATTATAAACAGCGACGAACGAATTTTTTAATGAAGAAAAAGTTGATTGCAACTTCATCAGAAATTTCTAACGGAGGAGTGTATGAGCTTATACATTTTGTTAATGTTAGGTATAATAAAAAGAAATCCATTATTTTTCTATTCAATGTAAAAATAATGGATTTCTTTTTACTACACCTAATATATTCCTAATATATTCTCGAGGAGTTATATATTTTATGAGTAATGTCTTGTATAATATCTATATCCAGGATTTATAAATATCTGTATACAGATTTATAAATATCTATATATAAGATCTATATAGATCTATATAGATGTCCTACTATTCGCGCGCAAAAATAGGATTTCTTGTATATTACATATGTACATAGTATGAATAATTATAATATTATTATGGTTTTACGATGATTGTCAATAAAAGTTTTGATAGTACAAGGACTATGTAATGCAACTGAAGTCTAATAACGTAACTGTAAAAATCATGTCAGTATCTCATCCATCATTTTATTTTCGAAAATCTAAGATCATTATTAATGCGAATAAAGTACTTGATTAATTACATGTTTCTCGTTCTCAATACAAGCCAATTAATCAATTTATACTCGTTTTATTAGGAGTTTTGTAATAGGCATTCACATTTGCAATTAAACAAACAAGTGTTATAATTAATGCATAGCGCAAAAGATTCGCCTACCTCTCGTAAGTTATAATATATTATAATTCTAAAATTTGCATAAAACTCATTTGAAAAGCATGAATATAGATGCAGTATGGATAGGAAATAATTTTTACTATTTCGTTCGATAGCTGAAGAAAAAAATCAATATATTCGTTCGTTGATGATGCATGATAGTTTTTTTAAATATTTATTGCGATATATTAAGTCGTTACAACAGCTGTTATTATGACAATCGCATATCTATCTACGTTCCCGTACGTGTGCGTATTATATACATAATGTTGAATACATATACTTTTATACTATACACATGGACTGCTATCAAAATTTTTGGGGCTATTCGAACGTGATAAATTTATATATGTATCATATACTTGTTGAATATATTATTAAGTATTAAAATATCGTTTTTTTTCTAACGTTTGAAATAAAAACTTGTGTTTGTTTTATCGTTCTTCACATTTTTCTTAATGTGAAGTAAACGTAAAATTTTTGTTCCCTTCCCTAGAATACGTAAAGTTTCTACATCATTTCTGTATGCTATATACACTACCTGTTTACAAACGTGTAAGGCAATGACTTTGCAAAGGGTAATACACATCTAAAGTAATACATAAAAATCATGCCAATTATAAAGGATTCTCAAAGAGTTCGTTGATCATTGATTCTGAAAATTTTTATTACTATGTGCATAAACACAATTTATCATAAAAGAATAGTATTTTTGTCACCGACAAACATTAATTCTAATATCTATCGTTTTCCATCTGTTTTTTCCAAAAAATATTTATATTGTCAAATATATTGATATAGATTCTGGTAACGTCAAGATTATTTTTTGTTGAATCTAAAATTTCATAAGATTACAAGAGTTTATTTTACATTGTTGAGTGTATGTAGACTTTTGGAAGCTGATATAATTATTAATAAATCCTGTGAAGAGTAGAGATAAATATATAATTCTAACATGTATTTCCATCTTATTATTTATATGCCTTTTGAGTTGTCATTGTTGCCATCAGAAATCGATTCACGTAATCAGTTATACATCTAAGACAATGACAAATATATTAAAAGGTGTGATTATATATATTACAGATTTCATTATAATATCCACAAATTGATTATACAGGACATACACTTAACTGTTGTCGACATATATAGAAATAGATTATGCTATGGATTACATAACTGTTGATATTATATAATTTATCAATACGAAGACCGCAAATCCCTTGGCACGTTTTTAATTTATAAAACTGGACATTCCAATCTTACGAGCGATACAAAAGCGGCGTACGATCCTCGCATTGTATCGTACGAATATGAACGAGAACTATGTATTTATATATATATTATGTATATCATAAACTTTGAATAGACAGAACAGTAGATGAGTATAACGAGAGAAAATTTACTTAAT